AGGTTTAGGCAACCAAAGTGTATTGTTAGGTATAGAGAAAACATTTTGGGTCAAAATAAGTATGTAACATGACCTAAAGAGGTCATGTGAGAGACAGAAGTATGTGACAAATGGATGTACGTAACCTCACGTTGAAACTGCACTGACTTTTGGTTTTACACAGGAAACTAACAGTGGTCTCCTGGGTGAGTCTGTGTTAGTTTGACCCATCAGTGTCCCCTCTCTTACCCCCAATGTGAACTTTCTCGCTCTTTATACTACCTGAGTTTCTCTGAGCATCATATTGCCACAGATGGGTATAGATTGGAGTTAGCTGAAAGCGCGGTTGGTCTCATAGAGATGCCAAAGGGTGCTTTCCGTGTCGGCATCACACACTGAGGGGCCTGATAAAGCATCTGTATTTGTCAACCTAGGAATGACAACGGGCTGAAAATAAGATCGGGCATGCAGACATTGACGTTCCCCTGATGATGAGGTGTACTTACTCAATTTTCCTTTGGCGCCTCACTTATCCATTGGAATATCTTTCAATCTAAAGGAGGGACTGTCACAAATTTTCATACAGACATTCACGGCTCTTTGAGGATATATCGGATCCAATCACAGAATCCCTCAGCTACTGTCTGATGAATATATAGCAACAACCAATACCTCAGCAGAGCCGGTGTAGCCAGCGGATATCCTTTTTCTGAGTGCCAGTCATTGTTTACAGTTAGATTAGCAACTTACACGTGAGTATGGCCGTCCAGATAACATTTTGGCTAATCTCTATAAACAGATATCTGTATATTAATGCAGATTAATTAGAAAAAAATTAATTAGAAACTAAATTGTTGTCAGACAAGTCAGTTGATTCAGAGATTGCATTGCAGTCAATGTGTTCCACCTCTCCTGCTCGGTTTACCTGCCCCTCAAACGTGACTGGTCAATACTACAAACGGAAACCAGGACTTTTCCATAGCCTTCCAAAGTCCATCCGCAGTTTATGAATACACTCAGATATCTGTTAATTGAGACCATATCAGATCCTATTGATTTTGGTAATCCCCAAACTTCTTCTTCTCTTGATCTAGCGCCATCATCTGGTCAAAATATGCATTTTATTCAGTACTTTGGTTTATGACTTGATTGCCGTCAGCCTCCGCTGTTCTTTGTGTTTAGTGCCAGTTAGCCATTGTTAGCATGCTAACTGAGATGTTGATCATTTGTGCTTATGATGGAAATGTCACAACAATAATAGTGCTGCAGGGATGATGTTTTTTTGTAGCTACTTAGAAATCAACACTGCCCTGGTTCCCCTAACAAAAAGCCTATCAGTGTTTTTGTATTTTGGATTATTGTAGAAAATACGCTTTGAGGCAAACAAAAGTTTACGATACATGTTTTGTTAAGCAAGATGAACTTCACAAATGAACACCACTTTTATGATTTTTGAAACGTAAATGGAATCGCTAGAACTAAAAAGCTAAAGTTAGGCTATAAACAAACTACACCACGGTAGCATGACTTAACGTTGCCGCCACAAAGAGGCTGTAAAGCGGTGTTCTGCATGATGACGTTCTGTAGTCTCATTCGGCCAGTTGTTAGCAATTATGTTTTTTAAGTTACGTAAAGGCTTCAAAATTTACGAGTGGGGTATTTACTGGCGTATTTTATGTTGTAGACCAAATACCCATTCAAAACTCTTTTCTACTGATTGCCATAAAGCTAATGTACAGATGTTCATGTTCCCCTTGGGATGAATTGTAATGACTTTGGTGATCTCCTGCCTTTTGATTTAGCGCCACCATCAATTTCACAGTCTAAAACTGCTCTCTCTGTTTAATGCTAATTTGCAAATGTTGGCATGCTAACACGCTGCACCTTAGCATTGTCACTGTGAGCATTTTAGCATGTTACATTAGCATTTAGCTGCTAGCGTGGCAGTAAACTCCTCATGAGTCAAGTCAATTACTTATTAGTCACTGACTGTATTTACATTTTCATCGCTGTATTCATTATACATTATGGATGCCTTATTAAAAAAGAATGATTACCTCTTTGTTTTAGTCACTTCCATGATAAATGTACTTCCCCATTCAAGCTGCTGATTAGAATGTAAAAACCTCCCAAAAATAGTTTGCTCAGATCGTACACACATGAGAATCAGTCGAAAGTCAGTAGGTATACTCCTCCCCTCCACACTCGTCATCTTAGTAGTGCTAAGCTGGTGTTATTGATGAATATCTCTCCTTGATCTATGAACTGAGGAAAGCTGCTGGCTCTTTTCTTTCGCCCTTCCCTCGTCTCCTAAATACTGGTGTCTCTTCCACTCATTAAGCTGCTCATTGTTTATAAAGCAGCGTCTTTATCTTACCCTGGACTTGCCTTATACTCCACTTTCTGTTTGTTTTTTGTTTCTACTGAACTCCACCATCTGTGCATTCTTTATGTTGCCAATCTTGATTTTAATGTGAGCAAGGGACTTTGTCATAAAATCATTTGGTGGTTCAATAAAGTTTGTGTGCCAAGGAGAGGGCCGGTTGCTTTTCTGCCTTCTAAGCAATAACGTTGAGATTATTGAACAACCCTTGAAGAAGCTCAAGTTCAACAACTGAAGGAGGAAGAACTCTCAGATATAAGGGCTCTGTGGAGGTGATAAAGTGACGGGGAACACATTGTTCTTGCAAAACAGCCCCTGGACATCATCTACAAGTAACAAAGCCAACAGAAAAATAATTGCGCGAGTGAGTCAGATGTATCCTTTTATGTTTGAGATGTTAACACCTCCCGACTGCAGCCAGTCCCTTTATGTATTTTAATAAGTGAAAATTATGTTTATGTAGGAGAAAAAAACAAACTATGTGTCTGATTTTTGGTGATTCATTTGCTATTTTACTGCATTTCTAGTTGTTTAATTCAAATTACAGGGCTGCTGCCAGGATTTTAATTCCCTCAACACGCCCCTTAAGCAATCAGAAAATGTTGGCCAGATATTTCTAATTATTTAGTTCACTGCTGCATTAGATTTTCTCGAAATTTCAATTCCCTATATGAAGATGCTGAAATGCTGCTCAGATGAAGAAATACTGCATCCTTTATTTATTGGCCTAAAAGTGGTGAATATTTTACATTTTGGTCCTGTTTTAATAGCATAGACGCAACACCCAGTGCAAAGTGTCAGGCCTTGGGATGGCGTGGGTGTCGTCAAGCACACTTGTTATTTTGGTTCATGGATGTGCAACAGCACAAGTTGCAAAAGGGCTAGTTAAAGTTGAATGTAGATTGGAGGGTGTGCAGATTAATAAATACACCCTAAGCCACTCTTATTGCTCTGAAACAGCTGGGCCAATCACAGTGAAAGCATGAAAACAGCAGGTCAACAAGTAACATTGACGTTGTCACTTTTCTCCTTTATTTTTGGCTAGCTGGTAGCTTTGTCGAGCTACTGCTGGACTGAGAGGCTACATCTGTCAAGCCAACTACCTTCAGGTTTTCTGATTGGAACAACTACAAAGAACAGAACTTGAACAAGACATTGTTGACGCACGCTGCTTGGGTGACCCACTGATGCCAACTCAAGGTAAGCCCCAAACAACCCACTACCAGCCAGCCTTTAAATTTTCCTTCCTTTGGTCATTACCCCTAGAAAATGACCTTGGCCTTGACACTCATAAAGAGCCCATTACCAGTCATTCTCATAACACAAAAGAGTGACTTTGCACCAGAAATAGACCTGGTTCTGAGATGTCTATTCTCAGCATGTCAGAGCCAATTTCCACCAATAACTTGCATTGCACTGCAGTATTTGAATAAACTTCTCACCTGTACAGTGCACACGCAGAGCACCAAAATACAACACAGATGAGCAACTTTAAACTGTCAGAGTGCTGCTTTCACTGGTTGTTGCGTCGCCACAAATATATAAACCATTTACAGAATTCGCAAGGCCATGAAATCCCTGGAGAAGTTATTGTGTTATGGTGTTAACAGTCTCCATTGGGGTTTATACTGCAGTTTGAGACACGCTGCCTCTTGTCTGTTTACGGTTGGCTCTGTGCGTTGTCATGGATACGCTGTACACAAACCAACTCGCCAACACTTTGCAAGGCTGGTGTAGCGATGCACCCTCAAAAGAAAAGCCCACATTTCTGGTCGGAAGGAGAAACACACCTAATTTTAAACATTTTGAAAGACTTGGATATCAACAGGATTTGCACAAACATTGCAACACCAACCTTTTTGAGAAGGTGGTTGAAGGGATGAAAAAGGGAGGCTGTGTTGGCGTGGTCGAACAAGTCTGAAAGAATTTTATGCAGCGAAGCAAATTTGCAAGACTTATGTTGACCTGATAAACAACATTTCAGGACACATTAATCTGAGTATGCGTGGCTACATGTAAACAGGAATATTAGGGGAATAATTATTTTCATTAGCAAATAATTAATAATAAGGGCAAAAAATGTAATGTGTTTTGCATGTAAACATCGTCAGTGTTGACCAAAAAGAGTAAAAGTTACCATTACTTTGTACAAGTTTAAGTAAGTTCATTTTTATATAACGAGTCTCATTTAAAGACTGCAGGTTTAACTACAACCTGTAAAATATTACTCCACTAATATAAAAACAAGCTCACTCCAGTTTATAATGAATGAGCAATTGAATGAACAGCGATGTGGGAAATCAAACTGTGGAACTGCTCAAACTGAATGACAGCTGACCAGATTGTCTGTTCAATTATCTTTCATGCAGAATGTTGATTGTTTAGGCAATTAATCAGGCGTCATGATCAACTGCATGTCAAAAATCAATTGATCTGGCAGAAATTTGGTCACTCCAATGTACAGTATCTACCCGACTTTACCCTTCCCTCACATTCCCAGAAGACATGACCTCAGTGTGCTCTTTAGTAGCGCTGACCCTGGTTGTATAGATCAGTCATATGGAACATGAGTGTCTCAATACAATCAGTCATTTGATACTCAGTCTAGAAGAATCAGAAAAAGCCAATAGATTCTTACACTGGTGGCATATTGGATGTCCCTCCATATGTTGGTCTCCCTGGAGAGGTCCGACATCTCAAACAAGTTGTCCAGCACCACCTCCCCGATCATGTCATGCCGCGAAAACCGGTCAAAGTCAAAGACGCTCATATGGAGCTTCCTGACTGCCAACTCATCGTAAGGCACAGGAAACTGGAAGCTCTCACTGAATGTGGGGTTGAGGGTCTTCCTGTGGACGCGAGTCTGGAACTTCTTGCGGTCAGGCAGCAGGTAGACCTTCACGTAAGGGTCAGATGTGCCGCACAAGTCCTTGGCTGGTAGATCTGCTGCCTTGAGAATGTTGACAATGAGGGCCTCGTTTTCGTAGTCGTACTTGAGAGAGAAGTTAATCCTGCCACAGTTTTTGCTGCTGCCGTTCTTGGATGAATCCTCTGATTCCAGGTCCTTCTGTTGGTAGAGCTCTGGCTGGATGCGGCCGATGCCGGTGGGCTTTTCATCATTGTCCACCACGTAGTCATTTCCCAGATCGAGACTGCCTACCTGCATCTGCCTGGGCAGGTGTCTTTTGAATGAATTGTGCCTGCAGGGACAGGAAAGACAGGAAGAAAGAGAGAGTGACTGACAGGGAATGTCTCGGGGTTTGTGGTGAAGAGCTGTAGGGCTGATGAGCAAGGAAACTCAAAACAGGGAAGTTTTGAATTCAAGGGAGGAAGGTTTTAAATTCAAGGGAGGGAGGCTTTGGATTCAAAGGCCTTGACACACAAAGCTGACCTCAAACAAGTGCTGACAAAGGGTGACGGATCGCATCTCCTCGTGTCGCCTGACGTCTTCTGTTAAAGTCGCATTTGATCAAAGACACAAGCCAGCAGCAAGCTGAGTTCTCTCCTGTGTGCGAGGAAATAACTCGCAGCCTGCGGCCTCTATTTATACTGTTTTTAAAAATGCATGAAAACAATTATCATAGAAAGCTAGCGTATTATTCTCATGTCTCTGTCAGAGCTGTTATATGCTTCGTATACCGACTTGAGAATATGTCTGATTTGCATCAGACACTGTTAGTTTTGCTTTTCTATGCTCTGTGCTGGGTTTTATGTGAGGAACAGAAAAATAAAATAAAAAGTGTAGGTGAAAATGAGCAAGTCAAGATAAAACTGCTTTAAATGTATGAAATAACAATAACAACAACAGAGAAAGCCCAGCGACAGCTCATTGAGCACCAAATGAGGACCCGGGGGTGACCGATGATTTGCTGTGTCAGGACCCTAAATGGAAATTTCTGCTGCTTTAGATGTGCTTTTTAAAGTCTAGCTGCATAATCAACAGGACTACTGATGTGCACTTATTAACATGGTGAAAATGTGCAGTTTTGCTAGAATTACTACAGCATAATGTTCTCTGTTTTCTCCCCTCTATTTCATAAATTCTCATGAAGAAGCCCTCGCATATGATTAGCCTTACCATTATGAGTTACAAAGAGATGCCTCTGAGGCAACACAATCTACAGTATTTATTATAATTAACTTTGTAGATACCAAATTGCTTTGATAGAAATGTTCTCCCCTCATTAGTGAGGCTATATTTAATGTATTTGGTGCCTAGTCACTTAAAATATAATGTGAATAGCAGTGAGGTGTTTTCAGATTTACATTTTTCCCTTCATTTTTAATGTTGGATTAATTGTCCTTTATACTACATGACTTCATGTCTTAAAATCTGCCCATGTGAGCATGCATGCGTGCTTCTGTATATCCTTAAGCTTATTTACACATGAATAACCACATCACAAACTTACATACACATGCGTGTATATATGACTAACCGAGTGGAGGATGTTGGCTCAGTGGTTTGCCTCTGCATGCGCTGTGTGCGGCGCAGGAAGTGCTCCCTCATGGAGAGCTGCACATCGGTGGGGATGTCGGGAGATGTATGGCTTATCTTCACCGCCGCCTCCAGGAAACCCATCGAACCCATGGGGTCCTTCACCTTCTCTGTCGCCATGGTGACCGGTGGCTGCTGCTGGGGGCTGGGCAGAAGGGGAGGCGACTGGAGTGGGCAGTCCTCTGGGTCACAGGCCGCGGTGAGGGATGGGCTGGGGAAACGGGCCTTAGCTCGCCAAGGCACACGGCACAGCTTCCAGGAGACGAATGTAAGGAGGCCTAGCAGAGCCAGGCCACAGACCACAAACACAACGAACAGGAGGCCAAAAGAAGCGTCTGGTGGCGAGCCACGGGGACCGGAAACAGAGGATCAGACAATATGGACAAACAGATGGTGATTACAAGGGTGAGAGAGGAGAAAGAGAGAGACGGTGCATTAGGGCAGGAATTTTCTGGTGCTATATCAGTGGTTTTTATATAAGACAACAAACAGCCAGCCAAGTATACTGGGAGATGTGCTTCATAAATATTAAGTAGCTTCCATTAGTCAGTTCATCGAAGGGATAAGGAAAGCGTATTAATGTAAACAGAATTCAAATGTGGGTATCGTATGCAGTCATGCACATGTACACGTACAAAGATAATTTCTCTGACATTAGAGGTACAAGTAATTAAAGCCTGTCAAATGGTAAAAAAAAAGAAATATAATCTATATGAATTTTAAAAAAGTTGCTCATAGGAATAAACCAATGTGTCAGATGCCTTCCTCTGGGATTTTTACCATGAAACAGATAAAAGGAGCCGGGCACGGTCAAACTCATTTATTTTCCAGCATTTTGAATATGCTATCAGGGGAACAAGCAGCATACAAAGACCTGGAGACGTCCCAAGAATGCTGACAAGCACTCTGCGAGGATTCACAGGGACTCGAAGGGGGAAAGAACAAACAGAAAACACAGTACTGTATCTCTGGCTTTTGCCTTTTGGGACACCTGCCAGAGTTGATTTCAAGTAATTATATTTTTGCACCTGATACTTGAAATGTTTTCTGCTCCTTCCGGCCAGGACTGAATTCAATTTTCTCAATTTTGCTGGAGTGTTCTTTTCCGCTCAAATTTATCTACAATAACTCACACTGAGGAGCGTCTCTGTGGCCTCTCAGAGGGTCCCTGAACTCCCGTCTCCACATAACACTCTTGAGATAGCAGCACGCTGCTTCGAGGCACATTGCATTAGCTCTTTCCTAATATTTACCCAGCTCAACCTTTCCTCACTTAAGCGACACATGAGCACGACACGCGCTGAAACCTGCAGATGGGGTTCAGTTTTTAGAGAAAACGTGATTTATTAATCATGTTAAAAATCAGATAATGAGTAACATTAACACGTAGCAACATTGGAATAAAACTCCATTTTAGGACGAAGTAAAAGTTCTGTTTCAAACTTTATGCAAACTTAACTATGCAAGTATTTTAAGCAAAACTTAGAGTAAAAGTATTAGTAGTGTTAGAGTGTAGCTAAGTACTTTCATTAAGTATAACTTTTAATTTAAGGTACTTGTCTTGAGTATATCGATTTTAAATGTTACTTTAAACAACTTGGTTGATTAAATATGAATGAGACTGATATTTACTGAAGAAGTGAACGATATTTGTCGGCTGTGATTGGTTGTTCCTGGTCACATGACAAGCAGTGTACGCTGCTGTGCTCCAAAAGTTGAACCCAGTTATCTCAAAGCGCAACTGTTGCGCCCTGAAAAACAGGTGCTCAGGAACGCATGCGTGCTGCTATGTCTCTCTGGCATTTGAGCATGTCTGCTGCACGTCTACACTAAAAACAATGGATTTTTGGGCGCACAAAATGCAGCATGTGTATGGCCCCTAACTGTGGTTTTTCTGCTATACTACACATTTATCATCTCACTAACTCCTTTTTAAATTTATTTGGAAGGGCCCGACTCTGAGACCTTGTATATAAAACAGTTAAAACTAGCTTCATCACATCCACCTACAACAGTAAAATGATGCATCGGAACATCAGTATCAACAATCTTATAATGTCAGATACATCACTCACAGGTTACGAGTTCTTCTACTTCTGATACTTCTACTTCTTTTATGTAAAGATTAGGTTCAGTATTTTTGGACCCAATTTCCTATGGTTTTTGTGTCTAAGTGACTATTTTGAGCGGCAATTGTTGAAAGTTGTCCAGTGTTAAGAGAAACAGCAGTTAGATGTGTAAAATATGCTGGCTCTATACACCCAAAATGACTGTTTATTTAAATGCTCTTCAACAAAAAGGTCGATCTCTGTTGGGATCTTTTCCATATTGTTTTCAGACACTTATAATTACAATCTGAGCCCGTCAGTGGCAAAAACAAGCACAAAGTAGCCGTAAAGTGGTGGTATGAACATTCCCTAAGTGGTTACATCGCACCCTGTTTTGCTGCTGCCAGCTAGAGTGTAGTTGTTCCAATTTGTGACTTAGACAAAAAAACATGGGAAAATAGGGTCCAGGGTGAAATAAACAGAACTCACCCTTTAAGCAAATGATCTTAGTACTTATTCCACCGCTGGGTATCAAATTAGAAATGCTCATTATGCAGCAGGATGACTATTTGTTGTGATGTTATTGTATTTGATCAAGGATGAACTAATCTGAGCTATTTCATGTACTGCTGGCTTTATTTGTAACAATGCATCATATTCTATTTAATGTAGTGGAGCAAAAAGTACAGTATTTGCCTCTGACATGTAGTGAAGTGTAAATTTAATTCCACCTCTGGTCTTTGTTGTAAAATGGTTTTAGAATTCAAAATAACTCACATAGAATAATAGTTGTATAACAAACTTTTATTGCTTTTATATCTAAACTACCCTTATTTGACCAAAAGGCTATGAAAAGACTAACATTACCCCCACTAATTGAGATTTTTCATGTGAAAAAAAACCTAAAAAACTAAATGGAGTGTCCACAAAGAATTTATAGCTTAGCCAAGCAGTGGACAGGATTTCAAGTCTGGAGGATTTGTGCCTGAGGAGGATTTCTCAGCTGTCCACAGCCCTGGCCTCTCCATGTCATCTGAAATTTCACACAGCTCCCCACAAAGCTTCGTCTTGACTGGACTGTCGCTCGCAGAGTCTTCATCCGCTGTCACGGCAAATCGAAGCAGATCCTACGCTGTGGTACTGAAATACGAGCGCCTGTGGTGACAATCATTCGCTGCAAAATGCGTTGACAGGTCAGAAATGTGTATCTGAGTATGTGGCTTTGGATTGTTTTACTTTTTTCCACTGCAGCAGAATCCTTCAAAGTGAAGTATCCACTAAAGCAGAGGTCTGACACTGTGGGGACCCCCCAGACTAAATCAAGACGTTTCATTGTCTTATGTCTGTATGGTAGATAAATCATGCTGCAGTTTTTGGAACCATAATGCTTTGGGGGATGGAAGCAGGAAGTATAACTTTGCTTTGTACGATTAGGCTGTGGGCCACATTGTTTTGGCCTGTATATTAGTTTACATTTTGGCAAGTTTGCACCAAAGCATGGCAAATTAGCAAATAGCAGTTGTTTGCAATATGTCCATAAATACAGACAACTATCCCTGATGATTCTCTGACAGGTTTTGGACTTAAAAAGCATGTTTTTTTCCCCCCCATTATTTCTAAGAAGATCTATGGACGTTTATTCACAATGGATATCGGAGATGATGAGGTTCCCTAAAAGCGTAGATCTCATTAAATCTAAAAATATGTTTTTTTGCCTGTGTGTTCAGATTTTACTAAGTTATGACTCAGGAGGAGGAGTGTGATTTCTGATAAAAAATGTGGCAATCAGGCAATCGAAGGGTTTTAATGGGACAGCTCACCCCAAAATACATATTTTATCAATCTAGATAGTTTTGGTGTGACTTGCTAGGTGTTGGAGATATCAGCCGTAGAGATGTCTGCCTTCTCTCCAGTGTAATCGAACTAGATGTTTCTGGGTTTCCGGGTTTGTGGTGCCCAATCTGCCAAAAAAATACATTTGAAAAACTCAACACCAGTAGGTGTTTTAAGACCAAACAGTTCTGAGGACTACCTGAGAGAATTGGTGCACTACGGAGCTCCCCCAAGAACTGCATGGCTTCAGTGGCATTTTTATGTTTGCATTTGCACCGCCAATAGGAATGCTGAAGTGATGTACTTTATTATAAGCTTTTGTTTGTGTTTTGTAGTTTACATGGCTGAAAGCCTTCACACACTGTTAAACAAAATTACACAGAGGAACCTTGCACACTGAGTCTGGTGCATTTCATTGTTCTATTCGTTGTGACAATTTGTAATACGAGACCAAATGAAAAGACACATCCTTCCCTACCTCTCTCCACAGGAGTTACCTTTCTGGCTGTTGGCACTCTCTCTGCATGTCTTCGCACATTCTGTCTGTGTGCGCACTCCACATCATCCACCTGATTATTATTTTCTGACTTCTGACTGAAAGTAGCTATCTGAGTTATGAAAGAATACTGTGCGTGCCCTTCCTCTCTCTTGTCACAGATGTGTTCTGCCACAACATTTTCTTCGCTGGTGAAACCACTCTCGAAAGGCTTCTGACGGATGCAAAAACCTGTTCCAAAACTTTTATGACAGGCGAAAGTTTCGCACTCATTGTGCAAATGTGATTGTGAGGTCGTATTTATTTTGAGACGTACAACTTTTGGACAAAAAGCACTGACTCAGTGTGCAAGGCTTAAAAATGGACGTTCCTGGTCCCACATTAGCTGCGTTCGACCAATTTCCATAACCTTGCGTCATTCATGGTTCCACTTGTGCTGGTAGAATACCTACTCCAAAATAGAAACTTAAATTGTCCCTCAAAACAGTGTTCTAAGAACTACGATGGTTCCTAGTTTCCTGCTGTGCGGACACAACAAAAATGGGGGTTCTTAGAACTATGAAAAAGTTCCTTGGGTCCAATAAAAATATGTCTTTGAGACTTCATGACCTGGTTACTTATCTACTCATGGACATGAGGCTCGTGCCTCTGACTGCATGAGATGTAAACATTAATGGCATCCTCCTTGGCTTAGCTGTAACATTTGCTAGCTCAGCGGTTCTAGGTGAGCTAGCAGTAGTTGCACGCTTCCTTCTGGGTGGATGTAGTTCAGAAGAAAGAAAATCGTTCCTACATGAAACTGCTCACAACAAGGTCTGTGGATTATCTTGAGTAACTGGGTCATGGTTTCTGCAAAGAGACATTGCTGTTGAGTTTTTCAAATGCATTTTTTGGCACTTTGAGCAACACAAGCTGAGTGCCATCCAGTTCCATTCCATTTGAGAAAAGGCAGACATCT